CCCCCCACCCCCCACCCTGACTGACAGAGATACAGAAACAAAAGAGAGATAGTAAATATCTTAGGCTCTCTCTACAAAACCGCTCAGCTATACGCTGAAATTGCTAGTACAAATTACTGCTGTCACAAAATCGTGCCTTGATAGAGGAAAATGTTATGCAGGAAAGTCCATTTTCAACTATGTAAACTGAGAGTTCGAAAATAAAACTGAAGCTATGCAGTTGCGAGCGCCGTAAAACCTCTACTAAAACAAACAAACAAACTGAAGCTAAGTTCTTGATGATCGGATGGAGAAAAAAAAGCATAAAAGAGAACAAAGACACAACAATAACAACAAAAAGAACAAACTCTCCTCTCTTGGACGCGAATCTGTTTTGTTTCCCCCACACCTTCGTATTCTTTTCTAATATCATTGCCCGCTGTGAAGTGTTATGTTTACGTTTAAGGCGCGAGAAATGCAACCCTATTTATAGATACCAACAATCCAATATTTGAGGACTTGGACTAAGGCATCGTCTCGTTCTCTGGTATCCAATTTTTAAAACATAATTGTTAAATATTTTTCTGTGTCGAATTTCATAATGATAACATTTGGGGGTCGTTGCTGTCGGCATAGTTCAGGTTTCTTTAATTAGGGTGTAGGATTTCGTCAAGCGAAGTTTGTAAGACCTTTTGAAAGTCAAAACAAGAGGTTTTTGTTGAAATAAAATCTGATCTAAACTCATTGAGCCCTGGTTCCGGACATACTCGTTCTGATCTTGACGTTTCGGAATAAATACAAGTACATTTGTTGTTATCATCATAATATCTCTCTCTGACGTTGATGTTTTACGAAGCTCTATTATGTGTATTATGCTATAATTTGAGCCTGCATCATGTATCCAAATGTTGGGGGTCTGTGGAGACCTCTTAATCAACAGGGGATTTGTAGAATTCTCTGACATCCAAATCGGGGTTCCTGGAAGTTCTGGCATCGATATGGGGGTTGGTGGAAACTTATGACATCCATACGGGGTCCCTGACTACCTCTGATATTCAAATGAGGAGATTTATGAATCTATAGTGCCTCCGTGGAGACCTCTTACATACACACTGAGAAAACTTAGACAAACATGTGGGGGTTCTTGGAGATCTCCGTCATCCACATGTGGAGACCTGTGACATGCACATGGGGGTTCGTGGCGACCTCTAGCATTCACATTGAGAGACCTTTGACAAACACATCGTGACGTGTGGGTTTGTGAACACCGTTGACATTCACAAAGGATTCGTAGGGGATAACGTGAAGGAAACAGTGGTGTAGTTTTTGGTGGTGTGCCTGGTGATGAGGCAATGTGAGGAACATGAGATTGAGAATCAGTTTTACATGTATTTTGTGGTAAAAGAGAGAAAAGTGGTCAAATTGTGTGTGTGGCCATTTTCGGGTGGAGGTGAGGCGGGAGTGGAGCTGTGGAAGGATTTGGGGTGGCCTCTGGTGAGGGTGTGGGATGGAGGGGTATTGGGGTTAGCTGGTGGGGGTATGGGATTGGGTGGGGTGGGGTTGGGGCATGGGTTTGGGGGAGCGTGGGTTAGGAGGTATGTGTGTGTGTGTGGGGGGGGGGAAGGGGGTGTAATGTACAGTTGCGTTATCTTGCCCGGGTATTGTAGAAGTAGTCTACCTTCAACGTGGCTTACTGTGCATTTGACATTTTCTGATTATTTCGGTGACGATATCTGTGTTCTGATGTTCCGATGCTAATGAGTGTAATATTTATGCTATTGCGTGTAGTGGCCAAGCTAAAAGTGATTGCTATTTCGTATAAAGTTAATTATATTCACTGTATGTAAAGTTAATGATATTGGAATCAATGTTAACGCTATTCAGCATAAAATAATGCAATGCCTTTGAATGTTAAAATGCAGTTTCGATTAATGTTAAGACTGTACTATTTCAAGTAAAGTTAAAGAATGCAAAGGTATGAACTGAAATACTATCTACGAGAAACAAATAGGCGCAATATCAACACACCAGGAAAAAGAACAAATAAAATGGCTGCTACCGGCTACATGCATCTAAAGAACAGAAAAACAACTCGAAAGGTAAAGACAATATTCTGAAGTTTATAGATCATTCCGCACGAAAGCAAATTAAAAGGAAACAGTTCCCGCACAGAATGTGGAAAGTAGCCTGGTAAAAGTCCACAAGAGCCCTCAATTCGGAATTTGTGCGACCTACAAAACACATGTTCGGTGTTCTTTCTCTCCCTTTCTCTCTCTCTCTCTCTCTCTCTCTCTCTCTCTCTCTCTCTCTCTCT